CACTTTGGATGGGCTAGCACCAGCAGGAGAGTGAATTTGTGTGGGGGGGTGGAGGGTGAGAAAACCTGGGTTTGTGCTGGAAATGGCCCACCTGTTGATCACTTTAGATAAGCTATTACCAGCAGGACAGTGGGGTGGGAGGAGGTATTGTTTCATATTCTCTGTGTGTATATAAAGTCTGCTGCAGTTTCCACGGTAAACATCTGATGAAGTGAGCTGTAGCTCACGAAAGCTCATGCTCAAATAAATTGGTTAGTCTCTAAGGTGCCACAAGTCCTCCTTTTCTTTTTGCGAATACAGACTAACACGGCTGTTCCTCTGAAACCAACCAGATTAATGGCACCCAACATAAGCCAAGTACCTAGAGCATAAAACAAATTCTCATTAAGAACAACTGGGTGCCATTCACTAGACCCTACACTTTCAAGATATGGTCAAGGTCAATGTCTGTTGTATTGGCCTGGATTCTGAATGCAACCTGTATCTTGTTAATGAGCATGTGCTAGGACATAAGCATACAAAAAACCACACACTATGGAAAGTGATGCTTGCTAATCGAATACTAGATCTATTAGTTTGTGCATGGGAAGGAAGCTAGAGGTTCAATATTAACTTCGGTGTTGAGTTTCTTTACATGACACAATATTCCCAAGTGCATCTGTACTAATGGATGGACCCACAAGGCTTGTTAACATTGTAAAGTTGAGTGTTTCAGTCAACTGTCTGTTAAGATTATTGGATTTTTGTTGGAAAACTTGAGTAGATGTACTTTGAATTTAAATAGCTGTGTCAGGACAGAAACTGCTGCATATGAAGCAGAAGCAAAACATAGGCACCTGCCAGGAATATTTGAAAGGTTAGTGAATTTTTCACGTAACCAGAAAAATTACATCAATAGCTTAAATTAAAAGGCCACATGGTATTCTCTGAAATTAACCTCAAAGTGTCTGTTTTTGACTCTACAAAAATAAAAATCGAAGAGAACTTGTTCTAAATATACTCCATTATGGGGTGAAACCCCCAAGCACAGTGGGAATTTTCAGCCATGCCAAGGTTTGAGAGCGTGACTAGGCATTAATCCCCCATCACAAAACCAGAATGCCTTTGATATATATAGTTATCTGTCTGTCAACTCCCTGTCCAGGGAATGTTACAGCTCAAGACTGGGGAACCTGTTGGTCAGATTTTTAGTATAGCTTTATATGGAGACAGAGTTGGAATAAAAAAAGGTTTTGCAGATTAAGGTAGATGTCCACTGGTAGAGTTGAAATACCTTGCACAATATCTGCTCATAGCAGTGACCGGAACCAGGCATAGTGTCAGTCCCTCATTTCCAGAATAAATTTCACCAGACAAAAGTTGCAAAAGAAAAAAACAGCATCTGTAATGAGTGCTGTAGATTTACCACATGAAAGCTAAATGTAGCTTCCATGTCTCTGTAGAAGCATTATTTGCATAATATTAGCTACAGCTTCGTGAGATCTGACAGATGAGCCAACTCTGGTAAAGAGAGCTAGATAAGCAGCATGATGCTATAATCAGAAAGTCTCACTGTAAAGTGTGCCAATTAAGTTAGATTGCATTCTTCTTTCCTTCCCATTTAAAAAAGGATAAAGGATTTTTGAGATAAGCATGTGCTAAGAGATTTCTTGGAAGTGACCACTGCCTAATTTGGTCCTGCACAGCTGTTCCTAACTTGTCTATTGGCTCTCCTTAAAAGATTTCCTTTGCATAGCCAGAATACCAGAGATTATTTCAGAACAAAAACGTTAGCTTCTTTTCAGATGGGAGAATTACGTATTTTGCAGCGAAAGATAAACTACACAGAACAGCAAAGAGCCCCTCTTCCTCCCAAACACAAACTTGTCAGAGACAGTAACGCTATACTTTTATTTTTAAATGGGGAAGACATTTCAGACTGGATGGGCATTTGACAAACTAATCCAGACCAGGCCCATGGAGAAGGATTTGAGAACAAACCTCTTAACGTGGATCGTCTTTGGCTATCGAACCTTATGACTTCGGGATAGCATGCTGGGTTTTTGTTGAAGTCGGGTTCCTTAGGAATATAGGGGAGCAGGTACTGGTTTGTTGCTATAAAGCTATTCATGTATTCTGGGCTGTATGCACTCATTCGCCATCGTAGGTTGCACTTAAATGTTAGGCAGGGGACGTTTATGTTTGTTTGGGGGAGAAGGTATGGAGCACTTTGGGGTGGAAGAGACCATGGGCTTATAAGAATGGAAGATTTCGTTAACTGATCCAGAATTTGTATACCTTTGTTTCAGTTAGTTATGAAACTATTTTTAAAATAAGGTTCTCTTATGCCTGGGCGAACTACTAGTACAAATCAGTGTTGCCCTCACAATGCATGTAAAACCCTCTGGTAACTGGTGTTTGCAGCCCAGCGTTCCCAAGCAATCCTAAACCACCACCACAGTGTGGCATATGGTATTGGAAAGAGGAAGCGACAGAATTAGGAGAAGGGGAAGACTTCATAAGATAATATTTTGATTTCACAACTCTAATGCTTGTGGTCCATGCTCTACTGTGTTAGCGAAGGTGGCAACAAGGGAAGGTTTGCATGGCAGTTAGCACAGACTACCAAGGGAAGTGGTGAATTCTCTCTCTCGAGGTTTTCAAATCAAGACTGGATGCCTTTCTGTAAGATACGTTTTAAAAAATACAATTACATGGTTGCCTGGGTGAAATTTAAAGGCCTGTGCTATACAGGTAGTCAGGCTAGATGATCTATGGTCCCTTCTGGCCACAAGCTATGAATGTATAAGTAGGTTATTAAAGCAATTTAGTGAATTTAAAAAGAAATCTTCAAGACTTCTTTTAGCATCCTTTTCACAAACTTTTTAAAGACTCCAACTACCTATCATAACCTTAAATGAGAACTAGGATTTACTTAGACATGAGCGGGACAAGCAACTTTTTAAATACATCTAGTCTCTTGTGTGTATTGTATTGGTGGTCATGCTTCATTCCCATCAACTAGGAGAAATGACCTGATAGGCAAACGTGCATATTTCCTGAAATTCCTCTTGGCAAGACAAGATGTTTGAGAGGTCCTGCCCTCTCCACAGCATATCAGTACACTCAGCCATAGTTTGGCATCACTACAAAGTAAAAACAAAACTGTCTACAGGAAACCACCAATAAGCCACTCAGCTCTGCAGGGCACCAGACTGAGTTTTACTGCTGCCTCAAATTCTTCGCAGTCATTCCAAGATTTATATAATCCAACAACAATTAGAAGTCAATCAAGCTAGAGGGGAAGGAGCCAGTGATCTGCAGATTAAGGGAAATATTACGAGCACTTAAAATTTGTTTACACAAAATTTGTGCCACTGAGTTTGGTGGTAGAAGTCAGCCAACATCCATTCATTATATTTTCATATGGAGATTAAAAGATTTGCACTGTCAAATTGCTAAAATAGTTACAAGACAAGGCCAAGACATCCCTCTAATAATGCAGACTGCGCACTTGTATTAATAGTCATATCTGGGGTCCCAAAATGCCTTATGAACATTAATTAAATGAGGCCACGCAGCATGCAAAATCTATGGTCTACTGATGGGAAAACTGAAATACAGAAGTTAAGTGACCAGCCCAATCACGCAGGAAACCTGCAGCAGAGTCAGGAATAGAACCTAGGTCTCCAGAACTCCTGGATTTGGCATAACCCCAAGACTACCCTTCTGAAAAAGTTCAATAGAGTTATGCACGGCACAGTCCATGTTATCTAATTCCATCTCAGAGGCTCTGGGCAGCAGGCTCTTTTGAAGACAGGTCACAAACAATGGAAAGAGCACAACTGGAATCTCCATGTTCACTGTTTCTGGTGGTTGCTTATAATGGAGTCATTTGTTCCACTGATACAGCAAAGCCAAGGTTGCACCACAGCATGAATTGAGGTTGGTACTTTAATACATAATTCAGAATTTCGATTCACTTCACTAGGAAGTGAACTGGAATACCTCCAAATTCACTATAAGCTGGTTCCATTGTATAGTTACATCTTACTTTCCCCATATGAGGATTTTAAAATAAAAAATTCCTGATTCTTACTTCAGGGAGATGGCTGAGGAAGCCCACAACGCTCAGCCTAGCTACTCCATTTCTTTCTCCTGCTTGCTGAGTGAACATATTGTATGTCTCCCCTTGTCTGTTCATCTTTGATAATTACACTGCCCCTTACACCGCTTCTGTTGCCAAATTGCAGATACTGGCAGTAACTGCAGAAGGAGGAGTTCCTTAATCTACCTTAAGCATCACCTTAGCCTGTGACCTAGAGGACAATGAACTCAGAGTCAGCCTCCATGTATCAATCTGAAAAGATTTTTTCAGTGAGCCAGGATTTTACAGTGAGCTTGTAATTGGGGTCCATCCTGTGTAATCACCCCATTCTGAAACATCCAAAGCATATTTTTTGCCCTACTTCAACTGATTCTCCAAACAAGTAGATTTGGAACAGCAGCCACCTAATTGCTCCTACTGGAAATACAGACCTTCATGGCCATCTTCACGAGGCAGCATTCAGCCAAACAGGTCAGTGTTGGCCAAACAGGTAGCACGTGATGCTACTAGGCAGGGATCCAAGTTCAGAATTATGCTTCTAGGCCAGTGGGTTTCAACATTCTCATTTGCAGTCCCCTACAAAAATTCAAATGAAGGCGCAGACCCTTTTGGAAATCTTAGGCAGTCTACAGACATCCCCAGGGTCCACAGACCACAGGTTGAAAGCTATTGTTCTAAGCTCCTAGACCATTGGAAACTGAGGTAGAGGACATTATTCTGCAACGTATCCGGTGGGACATGAGTTTTGAAGAAAACATGACTACATTAAGATTACTACTTCTCTTCCTACAAGTAGGATGGTGTAGGATCTCACTTGGTGCACACTTACTGCACAAGGCCCTTTTCCCTTCCAGTTCATTTCCATATATGGAGTTTGACAATGTATTCATGTGACTGCTATGATTTGTGTTACCTTTAATACCACGGTCTTCACCCCAGGAGTTCTCCACCTTCCATTTCTCAAACGATCCTTCTTGCCCATCCTGAAGGAAGGAAAGTAAAACACATTCAGTGGAGAAATTCCTCAAAGTTTGACAGTCTACTTCTAAAATCATTGCCAACAGAACCACCAACCTGACAGACATCTTTGATGCTCATGTTAAGTAAACTGGTAGGCAAACTCTCAGAACAAAGGGATTTTAGAAGCAGAAGCACTGACTGTTGTAAGAAACGGTCTCCTTTTAAAGTAATCTGATTAGTTGAGGTAATTATTCCATTTTCCTATTACAAAACACAGCTACATTGTGTTTTACAAGACTGAGTAAGTCGCAGTCCCTTTTAAAAACTTCTAGTACTTTGCACAGTTGCATTATAAAGCATTCTTTATCTGTTATTATTGGACTTAAGGTCCAGAACCTATGTTACTTGTTTGATAGTTTCTCCGAGAACGTTTCTATTTGCAGGACTGTCACAATGAAGTGAAGTGTCTTAAGTTTATAAAATTTTCCCCCACCCTCTTGAGTTAGACTCAAGTAATTCTAACAGATGAGAGTATTTGGAACTATTTCTAGAAACTTTGGTAAGATTTTAGAGAGCTGTTTCTCCCTTCCTGTGATCATCCTTGCTAATATGATTTGAAAGATGTTTAGTTTCTTGGATAACCTGCACCTTGCATATCCACCTATAGAGTATCTAGTCTACTCAAGTCCTTTCCAAGTTAGAATCAATGCACGCAAGTCCCCAAATTAACATGTCACATTAAAAGGTACTCAAGCTCCCTGGAGGCAGCATTCCATCCTATTGGAGGGTGTGTAATGTTCTTAGCTAAAGAGGAACAGATGTGCCCAAAGAGCCACTTTTTAGAATCAGCAACAAACAAATGGGTAGTTTAATCTAATCAAGGCAGAAGAAAATGCCTTGGGCAATTTGTCTGTATTTTTCAGTGAATTAGCTCAAGCCATTTTATGTCTTAGATAAAACACAAGATGTGTAACTTGTGTAACATTAACACTTGTGCCTTCCCATAAGCCCTATGACACTTCCCCTATTGACGGGGAATTCCTGTTATGGGAAGGGGAGGAAGTTATTTTGGTGAAGTACTTTTCCTGTTCACATTCACAGCCTGGAAGGTCTCTTTCCATATACTGTTCTTGACTGCCAAGTCAGGGCAGAGCTACTGTAACTCACCTGGATACTATAGGGGCTGCTCACTGGGCTTTTTCTACCCTGATAGCCACACTTAACCTTTCAATGGAGGCTTCCCCATCACACACACCACATGACTCAGCTTCAGTCTCCCTCGAGACACTCTTCCAGATGGGTGCCTATTAGCTATTTCACCACACTTTTTTTTAGCCTCCTCAAAGTAGACTTTCACAGCCTTCATGGGGAACCATTGCCTGGTTGATATTAAAAAATGGAAGCCAGTTAAGGCCCCCAAGAAAGGCTGTATACCACCACACAATCTCAAATGTGAGTCACTATGAGGCCTAGCTGAACTGTTTCAGCTAGTCTGAATCCACACTGGCTTTCAGAATGTTTAATGATCAGTTAAAGCTTATTCAGTTCAAACTGAACCAGTTTAGTGCCAATGTGGACTCAAACTAGCTGAAACATTTCTGCTAGACCTCGTAATGCCCCACAGTGCAGTGGTGAAATCTCCCTGGTTCAGCTCAGAAGCAGTGCATTCTGGAACTAGCGTATAGTTAACTGGGAGTCATTGCAACTGAAACAGTTGGGCATGGCTTGAGAGAAGGGGAAAACACGAAACATTCATTAAGGCAAGTGCGGAACCCTGAACTGTTTGTGCTTAAACTGGTTCAAGGACAAAGAGCAGTTCTCTAGTGTAGTCAAGATTGCATTGCATTCCATTCCAAGCTTCGTTAGCACTCTAGCACATATTCCACATTCTGGAAAAAAGTCCAGTCTGTTTTCACATCATCAAGCAGCACACAGAAGCACTGAGAAGATAACCCCCATGTGCTTACTAAATAAGATCCTTAATCCATAGGCTTCCCCATAGCAGCTCCCATGAAGAACTATGAATTCATTTCTTTCCCTTTCTTTTGGTATTCTGCCCTCTTCTGTGATTTTCATGATAATGCAGAGTTAACTCTGGTCTTTGGAAAAAATCTGCCCCTTACCTCCCTTTTGTACCCACATCTGTATTACTGTAGTTACTACACTGAAGTTTTATATTTTTGGGATGAGGTTGGGAAAACACTTTAAACGAAGACAAGGGTCCTTAAAATGAGATACTCAAGAGATGTATCAAAAGCACTAAGTTGAGTCCACTCAAGCACTTTGACAAGTAAATTGAACAAAAGGTTATGGTTTTGGAATGGTTTAGAAATACTGGCATGAATTAAATGTGCCTCTTCTGCAAATAAAATTACATTGTAACATTGAGGAAAATCCCATTGCAATCAAAACTGTTTTAAAAAACAGGTAAAAAACCACCAATGCTTTGATGGATTCACAACTACCTTTGAAAGCTCCTTTAGATTAAAGTCAAGGTTTACATAAGACAACACGTTCAAACAAAAACACAACCTAGCTATTTTAGTAAGAAAAAGGCCTTCAAATTCTGGACATCCTCTAGAGTTAAAGCACCACCACTTCAAGACATCCATTTCTCACATTCAAGACCCAAAGTATATATAGTCTATATATGGGAATGTTTTCTGCTTAGCAGATCTTCCTTACATTTGTCAAAATTCTGGACAAATTTTAGGTGACAGTATAACAGAGCCCATGCATTGATTCGAATAGCCAGATTTGGTATGCAAAAGTTAAACTCTGATACACAAACCCTCAGAGGGTCAAAAATATGAGCTGCAAATCAAGGAAGCAGAATGTGAGGAAGGAATTTCTACTTATACAAAGCTTTTGCTGTTCCAAAAAAAAGTTGTGTGAAAAGAAACCAGATTGCAGCGTGAGTCACTTTACATTCCTTTATAAGGTTACTATACAGATATAAACCTGTAATCAGTGTGAAGTTTGTGTAAGAATTTCAAACAACTAAAAATGTATAAATCATTTTAAAGCTCTAAATTTCAGAAGTCAAGAGAATATCCTTTAATCCTAATATTCACACAGGATTAGTTCTGTAACCGGACACCTGAAAAGCATGTGTGTAAATTGTAGAAGACCAGTATGTAGAATACTATTGAATTTTGAAAAGTAGTTCTGAGAAAAACTGATGACTCAACAATCCCATGTCACTCCCTTGCACAAAGTCCTGACTCTCTGGGAAAGTTTTCATTAATATGTAAGCACTTACTTCTCAGACCAAGATTACTTGGTCTGGAAGAGATTACTTTTACAAAGGAATCTTAAAAACTTGGACTTTGTGTTCTGATGTAGGGGGAAATCTCAATTTTTCCAGAACACAAATAAAAGCTGAAAATTATGACCACTTAGGTATCCAAAGACATTGAGGTTCACATGCGTCTCCCAGAGGGCATTTCTCTGGTTTATTAGCATGCAGTACAGCTGTTGGCAGCGTAAAAGTGCTAAGAGCTGTACTGCTGTCTTGGGGTTTCAATTCTTCTCTCTCTCATTAGTGGGTGTGTCACAGAAGTTGTGTGCTTCTGATTGAGGGATTGTTAGTTATTTGCTTGAACACCCTGCGGGAGGCAAAGTAGTACAATGCTTGGCGATAGACCTAGTCTAGATTTAGCAGCGTGCTGTGGAGAGGGATGTGCTATCACCTTTGATTCCCTGGTCAGTAGGAGAAACCAGAATTCACATACCATTTAAAGCCAGCCACTGTATGTTTTAAATTCCTGGAAAACACAAGCCAAGTTTCTTTGCCCTTCTCAGAATTTCTGGGCACAAAAAATAAGCCACTGCCTTGTTGTCCAGGATTGTCCACTTGTTTGGAGAAACTAAAAATAGTAATTTACCAACATGTGACACAGGCAAATAAGACATCATAGGTATGATGTGCAGGTGTGATGTCCTGCGCATATGCTGCCCTTTAGCAGAGCATATAAAACTGCAGGAGAGTTCAAATACATCTGTGCAAACAGCACAAGTGCTTGTGGAGGAAATCTTACCTTCTCTGTGAAGGCAGTGAGGACCATGGCATGGGTCATCGTTGATTCTCCAAAGGTTAATCGTTCTGCTTTGTTCATGTTCTTGACGGAGACACCGAACACCAGCTCATGATCAAACCTACAAGTAAGCCATACAAAGGAGGTGAACACAGAAGGAGGGATCAGTAAAATGTAATGTCCAGTGATTTATTGCACAGGGCTCTGACATACGTGTAGCTCCTTTTCAAATCTCAAGTTAGAATAAATACTAAGCGGGCCCGTTTTGGAATGCCGCTCACCAAGTACTAGGGAATTCAAGTAACTACACAAGCTCAAGGGATGGGCTGTGGAATAACCACATTTAGAGGGGTGCTACAAACCCTTCCTTTTTGCCTTGCAAGAGGCACAGCTGGGATATACTGCATCTAAGTTCCTCTCTCTTCAGCTAAGAATATTTTACATTAAAATTTCACAAGTGAATTAGCAACTGAGTACATTTTCAGAGTATCAGCATTTCAATTTACAGCCAAAAAAGGGGATTTAACAGAAATAGAGGTCCAAATGCACACTTGTCTCACTCATTTTGGGTAAAAAGATTGGAAACATTTTTTGGACAACATTTGTCACCGTAGCATTTTCAATTTGTAGCCGGATTGCCATGAAGAGAGAGCCCAGAAAACAATTGTGTTTTAATTTCCTGCACTTACACATTCAGGTCCATGATGCCCAGCTTGCTATAGAAGTATTTTCCAACATCGCAGCCGAACCACACAGCCTAAAAATAGGAGAAAGTAGTCATGCCTAGGCCACATCCCAAGATGGACTCTTGTACCACAGAAGAGGGGGAAAAAAGTGCCACTGATTGGAAGACGACACAAACCTCGCCATCTTTAATGGAAGCTGCAGCTATCTTCTTCAACAGATCAACAGGCTGGTTGTTGTAGAGTGTTTTTCTTCCTCCCACCACGTTGCCCAGGTATGCTACCGTGTATAGCTTGTTGTACTGGTTCTGGGGTCGAGGATCATTCACTAGACAAATCTGCCATGAATAAGGTGTCACTAGTTAAATTACAAATCAATTGAAGCCTCAAAGAAAGAAGTAACTCTTGGTATATCAAATTAGTTCTGCTCTAGCTAGCTGACCATCCCATGCAAGTGAGGACAGCTTCAGCTGGAACAGAGGTTTACTGAATGCAACAGAAAACATGCTCTAAGCTGGTCTACATATCCTTAAGTGCTGCAAAGGAACATCATTCTATTCTAATTAATATTTTATCATCAAGGCCCCCCTGGCTAAGCCACTCGAGATCTTACAGCAGCATGAAAACATGATTCAAGTACAGTTAATCCATAAAAAACTCATCCAAATTCACACAAAACCAAATGAGAGGCGCAGTGCAAATACAAAAAGGGATGTCTATGTAGTAAGGAAGAAGGGGAAATAAATTCAAGGCTAACTGACTCAATTGATCGCTTGCTATGGGGAATGTGTGAGGCTGTGTAAAAAACCCTACTTCAGCAACAGCACATTGTACTATACGTTTAGCATTAAAAAGGGGCTCCAGATACAGCAGGCATTGGTTGTATTCTCCAACCTTGTCTTCCATGTTGAAGAGGGGTTTGATGTGTTCCTGGTAGAACTGCAGTGGTGTCACAGGGCCAATCTTGTGGTAGTTCTTCTCCTTATCTCGGAATTCCCAGGAGAAGGTCTCAGGAGGGTTCCCCAAACAGCTGCTCACTATTCTGAATACCTGCACAGGAAAGCCGATATGGCATGAACATTCATCCAAGCCTTCTGTCAATTAAGCACCAAAATTCTGCAGCTGGGCCAGCGATAGAACTGCCATTAGTCAATTGATATCTTCACATGGGGACCAACTGCAGAATCAGCCCCTTAATGTTTATATTTAAGACATCAGAATAACCCTATGCTGGTCAGTTTCCCCCATCCAGTACTAAGAACCCATGTTCTGCAACACCACCTAACAACAAATTAAAGTCCACAAAATCCTGCGCTTCCTCACCATGCTAGAAACACCACAGGTTCCTGCTCAAGCTTTTTGTGATTTTTCTCAGGCACTAATATATTCAATTCCCAGCTGTATGACTATAGTAGCAGTGAAATAAAAACATATATGGCTCAGCTGAAACACTGCCCAATCCTTAACCCTAGCAACTGCATCGAAGTGCAGTGAAACCTTCCCCTAGATAGAAGCTGTGTTTAGACTGTGCAATGGAACCAAAAGTGGTTACAGTTGAAGACCACAATAAGGACAGTTTGAGACAGAAAAAGTTGCCAGGCCAGCTGCCACCTTTCAGAAGGTGGCATATACAAATTATTACCCTCCCTCCAGGTAGCATATACAAATATTGTTTGGGAAAGGGCTCTAACAACGTATGTCGTGTCTTATGGACGCCATAATCTGTTCTCCTAGCATACATGCACAGAAATGTTTTCATTCTGACGGTACACCTCCATTAATCACTTTTCCTTCTGCGAGATGATTTGGATTTCTGCTCTTTGGAAATCCCAGCATAATCTTCTGGTCTGTTTTAATATATTTAACAATACCTATATTTAGGGTTAAGTATAATTTTACTGAAGGGCTCTGTTGATTTTGTGACATCCTTGGTTGAAATACATAGTCCTTGATAGCTGACATGCATTTATTAATTTCTATTAGATTAAGGATCTTTGGCTAGATTTCAGGGGGACTGTATCCCTTTAAATGAACTTCTCTTTAAGAGGCCAGGCTAGTGGTGGTCTATTATCCGACTATAGAAGTGCTCAACTTTTTTCCTGCCCTGAAGAACTTATAATCTAATAAGGATAACAGAAGAAATCAGTTCTTAAGTGGAAACAAGGGCATGGGCTCAAGTTTTTATTGGAGAAATTCCCACTTGTTTAGTTTTTATAGAACATGTTTCCAATAAAGGTTTTAAAGAACAAATTTAAATCCCTGGCCTCCTAAAAATGATTGATTCTCACACAGATTAAGTTTGCACAAAGATAACTATTGCCAGTGGACATCCCCATTTACCTCAGATGGGCCCGTTTCTACATCAAATTACAGAAATAAAAACAGATCAATGGAGAATGCCTAAGGAAACCAACAGGCAAACTGGTTCCAACCAAAGGAAGGAAAAGTGATGGAGACGAAAGTCTCGAGTCAAGAGCAACCTTGCCTGAAATGGTCTCCTTGGCTTGTTTACCACCACACTCGCCATAGGCCACCCCTCAGTATCTCCAAAGCTTCCTCTTTCAATACCCAGGGGACACTTGTTTCAACTAAGCAGAGCTTTCTATCACTCTGGTGACAGCTAACAATAGGGTAATGTAAGGACACAGTGGCTTTTTGTTTTAAACGAAAACAGGCAGGGAGAAGGGCCACTGCTGATAAGGTAGAGTCCACAAAAAGAACACACTGAAGCCAGAAAAATTCAAATAAAATCTAGTGACCTGAACTTGTGACCTCCCACATGCTGCTTTGATAAGGGGCATCTATCTACTGGAACACAAGAGATTCAGTATTCACCCCAAGACTATGCAACTGCTCAGCTTCAGATAAAGGATTGGTGCCCATGATAAGGAAATTGAGTCATAGAAATTTGCAAATGAACTCAGTGGAGATGAATGGTGTATAAATCTGGTTTGCCAGGCACAAAACTTGAACTCTAATGTACAGAGAAATGCTTCTGAACAAGTGAAGCAAGACAGTATAGTCCACCTTTAAAACTGCTAAATGCTTCTGCAGGTTTAGAGTTGACAGCTGGCAATGCTAATTACAACATTTCCCAAGAGGAAATCCACTTAAATGGTAGTCAACCAGTAGTGTTGCAACAGGAAGAACAGGGGCTAACTCAGAGGAAGAAACAGCTTTTTTTAAAAAAGCACACGCAACAACTCTCCAGATTCTGACAGAAATTAGTGCGCCATTAATGAGCTTTGCTTCCAGTTTCTAATGCTGGAAACTAGGAGACTCTAAACAAAGCAAATGAAAAATGTAAATCTGCAATGAACTCTAGGTCTCTGCCTTTTCTGAATTAACCAAGCCATCCCAGGAGGCTTCAGGTTAACGCTGCAATTAAGCCCTCCAGTGGATGTCTGCATGCAAAGCCTAAAGATGGGAATCATGTTAATAATATTAAACTACAAAAAGGTAATTTGCAATGTACTGAAGGGTAGAATCAGTAAGGTAAGAGGTCATTTGGCCCCTAGCAGGGCATGTTTGATGGAATATAAAGGGTTTTGTTTTAACATACAAATGTGTTAAGAACACAGTACCAGTTTTGCTATCACCACATTTCTTATTCTAACTTTAGAACTGGGGATAGTGAAGCTGTGGATTTGTGCATGAATTGCAGCAATTACTACCAGAGAGGGACCCAGGAGCTACCATTTACACAAGGCACAGAAAAGAATAATTTAACAGGAAGCTTTTGAGAAGTTTGCTGAAGGGAGGGGAAGGAAAAGGAGATTTACATCTGTAAATCTTCTCCAAAAGAGCTGGTACAAGATGACCCAGTGGGCCTGTACAATCAGACACTTCTGACAGAGGTATATCCATAAACTTCTGTAAGTAGAGAATACAGAAATGTATCTTTTTTTAGAAATACACATGGCCATATACACCAATCTTAACATACTATGGGCAATAAGTTTGCTGCTTCTAATCCATTACTGTTGGCTATTTGAAAAAAAACAAACAGAGAACCAAATAAGATGAAAATAGGGTATGGCATCTCTTGCATTTAAGCCAACCATACAGCAGCGCAAAGTGCTAACCTTTAAACTGTGGAGGGGTGAGAACCGGACAACGCACCCTACTTTAAAGCTAATTTGCACGTGTGAGACGCTGTAAATGCATACAGAGAGGTACTTGGATAGTTGGCCTTTAAGAAAAAGCAACTCGATTTCTTAATTGGGAAAGTGATTGCAATGCTGCATATTTAGCACAAAGTTTTTTCCACATGCTAACACCTGAGAAGCTGAACTTTCGTTCTTCTTTTCTGCTCTCATGGGGAATTTCTGCAACACCACGTGTGCTGCACAACTAAGTTTACAGTGGGTATACAGAACATAGTTTCCAGTTCTTCTAGCCCTTGCTAGTTAGACCAGGCTGTACATATTATTTTGGTCTCTTGAGAACAAAAATGCTGGGGTTTAGAGTCTGTTAACTACACCTGGAAGAGGAAATCTTCAGCTGGTGTAAAGTGTCCTAGCTCCACAACTCACCCAAGTGTTTAAATGCAATGGTAACCCAAAAATGTAAAGAACAGTTTATGCAAGAAAACATTACTAAAAAATAAAAATCACTTAGTAACACTTCAGACAGTACATGGCCATCTGGGGTCACCCTGATTTTTGTACAATAGAAGGGGTTTGTTTTGTACTTTGCAGATAGTTCTAGAATAAAAGTAAGCCAGAATTACTTCATCTGTAGCAGCTTGCTTCTGCTATGGAAAGAATCAGGTTATATATATGTATATTACCTCCTCTATCATAGTGTCCTTTGCAGCAGTGAGTTCTTCCTTAGTTGACCTACTTGCTACCATGTTTCTTAGCCGCACACAGTACTCCCTCATCTGTTTAAAAAGAAAAGGCCATTTTATCACTAATGGGACCACAAAAAGTATAGATTTGCAAAGCCTGTACATGTTAGAAAGTCAAGATTTGCTTTATGGATCTCTATTAAGCATCCATCACAAAAGGTTTGTTTACAGAAAAAAATCCCTATTGATACTACTATTAAGAGTTGGTTCTTTATATTAAATTTTAGAACAATCTAAAACCAACCTTTCAGGCTGGTTGGTTTGCCAGGATTCAAGCTGAAGACTGGAACATGGCAGCCCCAAGCAACACCATTAAACCTCTGGTTTAATTTCACCATGCCTATTTTATTTACCAACTCATCTCTATAGATTTCTGGGGATTGTTGTCCCTTGATCACATGCTTGTAAATTGCCAAAACAAAGCTTTCACTGGAGAGCTTTGATTGCCATTTCATTTTTTGCCACAGTGGATTCAGATCCATGTCTGATTGCCTAAACCTGCTTTCTTCCTTGGTCAGTCACTTCAGTATTTCACATGGCACTGGATGCTTTTCCTATGCAAGCTGGTTTTGGTTCCATCCTAAGCTCTGTATTTTTAAAATCCATACTTGTAAATCTTAGCCACTATACTTGGCATCATGAGAGCCTTGATCTCTTGGTGGATGGCACAGTGGAAAACTAGCTCTCCCTGGATACACGAAGTTTACAGAAAAATCTTCTGCCAGCCACATAGGTAGAATTTTTCCTTTGGGAGTTAGAGAAATAATGACCATTGTAAAAAGTGCCACAGAGGACATTTTCAAGCTACTGTTTGAAATCAAGAGTTTAAAACCCTGCTAGTAGCAGCTATTCATGCACCTACTTCCTCTTTCTTTCCCAGCATTTTAGGGCCATTCCCCCTTTGCCTTTTAACCCTTACAAATGCAGTGTTTGCATAGAAGCAAGGAAGTACCCACACTGGCTTTTAATGCTTTGATCAATAAAGAAAATTTAAGGAAACTAGTCAGGAACATCTGGAGCTTATGGTTTCTTCCCATCGGTCTAACCACTGAGTTTTAGCACAATTTCAAATCCTTTACCTTATGATTCAAAATCTCATTCATCTTTCTGGAGGCCTCTGTGGTGTAAGATTCAGGGAAATTCTTCTTGGGGATAACACCATGTTTTTCTAGAAAGAAAAAGTTGACAAATATTATCAATTGATAATCTTGTATGCAGTGTAATTAACCTGTGTCAGTCCCAGGATATTAGAGAGAGAAAGTACATGAAATATCTTATTGGACCAGCTTCTGTCGGTGAGAGAGAAGCTTCCAAGCCATACAGAGCTCTTCTTCAGGTCTGGGAAAGATACTCCCAGCATCACAGCTAAATGGATGTTCCACCTTGTATTTAGCTGCGACACTCAGCATCTTTCCCAGACCTGAAGAAGAGCTTTGTGGGCTCAGAAGCTTGTCTCTCTCACCTACTGAAGCTGGTCCAATAAAAGATATTCGCTCACCCACCTTGTCTCTGATTGACAATCTTTCTATACGGTCAGTGTTGACTCTGCTCATACCCATGGGAAGTCTTAACTCACCTGATTTCTATGAAGATTGTCTGTCGCAGAGGTCTCTTATAAAAGAAAGAAGAAGCCAAAGGTTATGTTTTTTGTCTGAGTCTTCCTCTGTCTTTGTTAAGTATAAATTCAGCTGGGTTCCCCATAAAGATAGAGTCCTTCAGTGATCAGACATGACAATCTGCCATTTGTAAACTTATTTCTCCTCAACTAATTAATGTTATTTAAGAAGCTCTTTCACCAGAAATTTGACTCTTCTTAGATTAAGCTACCAACCCAGTTCACTAAAAATATATCAACCTCTTATGTGCTATACCACGTATTTGGTCTTAAGGTGAAATGAAGAACTTCCAAACCTTCCCTTCTCCAGGGCAACAGAAAAAGTGCTTTATCCTCAAAGCTATGAGATGTAGCTTTGTAGTTGCTAATAGAGTAGTAACAGTTAGGTTAATTAATATTTACATTGTGGTAGCACTCAGAAGCTCCACAGTTCTAGGTGCTGGAACAAAGGTACATAGTCCCTGGACATGCAGCATACAGTCTAAGGAACAGTCTCCTTTCTGCAGTAAGTCTTTGCAAGACAATTAGGCAAGAAAGGGCAGGTAAAGGCAGTTACAACATTCCAGAAAACAAAATCCTTTTGTGCAGTTTGTGCTGATTTTAAGCACTCATTACCCTACAAACTTATTACACCAGTGCATAGTCCACATGAAGTCAAGCAACCTCTGAATCCACCTATGTGAATTCAACTATATCTTGACAAATTTTTCGCTTAAAGAACAGCCCTACCCTGAGCAGCAGCCTTGTAAAGTTGGCACAGTGGAGTTCCACAGTCATTTTGTCTCATTCCATATCCCATTTGCTCAGCTTGCAAGAACATTTTTCCTGCTAGCCCTACAAACATCCTGGGCTCTGACAGCCAATATGGGTTCTTACCTTGTGCACCAGTAACATTATGCACAGGTATAAGTGAAGGCAATTCCATTTCTCTGGATTATTACCACTCATGGAGTTACACATTTTCATAATCAGGAGACCATCAAGGTGCATGGGTGTGGCTGAGGGCCCCATTTGGCCTGGTCCTACCACAGGCAGTGCACAATAAGGAGAGAACCCAGAGTTCAGGGTGAGTTTATAGGGACAACTGTTTGACATTTTTACCAGTGAATGTTGAGCAAATCTGTTATGGGGGTGGGGGCTGTTAGCCCAGCATTCTGCAATGGGACTCCATGGCTTTGGAACTCACTTCTTCCTTTGAGCATAACAGCAAAACTGGGGAGTTTAACATTTGTTGCCCCATTTATGTTGTTTCTTAACAATTGGGATGCAAGAGTACTTTACAGAGTCTTTTTGACAACAAGTATCTTGTTGAGGGTGCCTAGAACCTGGGATGAGTTCCCTTTTGGGTAGTGGAGTAGAAGTTTAAGTAAATTGGAGATAGAAAACAGTGAGGATATGAATACCCACATGTGATTTCTGTTTTAATCCACATACAAGAACTCATCCCCCCCTTGACTCTCCACTAAATGTTGGTACGATGCTTGCAGGAAGACTGTCATAAGTTTCTGGGTATGCTTCAAGTATTAAGAGTTGAACTACTAGATTAGTGAATAATTAAGTGCATAAATTTGCTCCCACCTGTGGTTTCTACAGCCAGTGTTTATATTCTAAAGAAAGTTAAAACTGGTTTAGTCGGATTCCACTCCCTGATTTTAGGTAGTCAAAGCCATAAGAAGGGAGGTAATGACAGAGGTTAGCCCAATGCTTTTAAGTAGATCACATTTGTGGTTTGTTGCAGTCAGGTTTAAGGGGGACAAATTGCCACCTCAACTATGGCAAAACTAAAGGAAAGCAAGTTAATCTTGGACTCAAGACATGGTTCTTAGTGCTTATAATACTAGGTTTTTTTAATTTGGGGTATACATTTAAGTTGAGCCTCTATTATGGGGTCTTTAAAAAATTTCCATGCAGCTTGCAGGGATTTCACTCTAGGTGCTGTACCCTTTAATTTCTGTTTAACCTCCTCACTTGTGTAGTTCCCCCTTTCTGAAGTTAAATGCTAGAGCGTCGGGCTGCTGGGGTGTTTTCCCCACCACAGGGATGTTAATTTGAATTATATTATGGTCACTATTTCAGAGGGATCCAGCTATAGTCACCTCTTGGAACAGATCCTGTGCCCCACTTAGGACTAAATCAAGAATTTGCCTCTCCTCTTGTGGGTTCCAGGACTAGCTGCTCTGAGAAGCAGTCATTAAGGTGTCAAGAAACTATTTCTGCATCCCGTCCTGAGGTGACATGTACCCAGTCAGTCAATATGGGGATAGTTGAAATCCCCCATTGAGTTTATTTTTAGAGCCTCTCTAATCTCCCTGAGCATTTCAGAGTCACTAGCACCATCCTGGTCAGGTGGTTGGTAATATATCCCTACTGCTATACAATTATTATTAGAGCATGGAATTACTATCCATAGAGATTCTGTGGTACAGTTTGGTGTAGTACACTTAAATTTTTACTTCATTTGATTCTATGCTTTCACATATAGTGCCACTCCATCAGTACAATCTGTTAAATCCTTCAGATTGATTTTGTACTCTGGTCCATTGATTATTCTCATTCCACCAAGTTTCTGTGATGCTTATTATATCCATATCCTCATTTTACATGAGGCAGTCTAGTTCACCCATCTTATTATTTAGACTTCTAGCATTTGAATACAAGCACTTTAAAAAGTTGTCACTTTTTAGCTGTCTGCCATTACATGATGTAATTCAATGGGACTTTCATTTGACTGTTTTTCCATCAGATTCTACCTGTATTTTATAATCTTCCATCCTTTCCTAGGACAGAGAATCTCCATTAATAGACCCTCCCTGAAGGGACGTCTCTGTCCGAACCACTTGCTCCGCTGCACCTGTTGGCTTTTCCTCAGCCCTTAGTTTAAAAACTGCTCTACAACCTTTTTAATGGTAAGTGCCAGCAATCTGGTTCCATTTTGGTTTAGGTGGAGCCTGTAGAGGCTCCCCCTTTCCCAAAAGTTTCCCCAGTTCCTAATAAAACTAAACCCCTCCTCCCTACACTATTGTCTCATCCATTCATTGAGACCCTGCAGTTTTGCCTGTCTAACTGGCCCTGCACATGGAACTGGAAGCATTTCAGAGAATACTACAATGGAGGTCCTGGACTTCATATCTTCATAAATGATCTGGAGGATGGTGTGGATTGCACTCTCAGCAAATTTGCGGATGATACTAAACTGCGGATGATACTAAAGTGGTAGATACGCTGGAGGGCAGGGATAGGATACAGAGGGACCTAGACAAATTGGAGGATTGGGCCAAAAGAAATCTGATGAGGTTCAGTAATGATAAGTGCAGGGTCCTGCACTTAGGACGGAAGAACCCAATGCACAGCTACAGACTAGGGACCGAATGGCTAGGCAGCAGTTCTGCGGAAAAGGACCTAGGGGTGACAGTGGACCAGAAGCTGGATATGAGTCAGCAGTGTGCCCTTGTTGCCAAGAAGGCCAACGGCATTTTGGGATGTATAAGTAGGGGCATAGCGAGCAGATCGAGGGACGTGATCCTTCCCCTCTATTCGACATTGGTGAGGCCTCATCTGGAGTACTGTGTCCAGTTTTGGGCCCCACACTACAAGAAGGATGTGGATAAATTGGAGAGAGTCCAGCGAAGGGCAACAAAAATGATTAGGGGTCTGGAACACATGACTTATGAGGAGAGGCTGAGGGAACTGGGATTGTTTAGTCTGCAGAAGAGAAGAATGAGGGGGGATTTGATAGCTGCTTTCAACTACCTGAGAGATGGTTCCAGAGAGGATGGTTCTAGACTATTCTCAGTGGTAGAAGAGGACAGGACAAGGAGTAATGGTCTCAAGTTGCAGTGGAGGAGGTTTAGGTTGGATATTAGGAAAAACTTTTTCACTAAGAGGGTGGTGAAACACTGGAATGCATTACCTAGGGAGGTGGTGGAATCTCCTTCCTTAGAAGTTTTTAAGGTCAGGCTTGACAAAGCCCTGGCTGGGATGATTTAATTGGGGATTGGTCCTGCTTTGAGCAGGGGGTTGGACTAGATGACCTTCTGAGGTCCCTTCCAACCCTGATATTCTATGATTCAATCTCTTACCTAACAGCCTAAATTTGGCCTCCAGGACCCCTCTCCAATCTTTCCCTGTGTCATTGGTACCTACATGTACCATGACCACCAGCTCCTCCCCAGCACTACACATAAGTCTATCTAGATGCCTCAAGAGATCTGCAACCTTCACACCAGGCAGGCAAGTCACCATGAGGTTCTCCTGGTCATCGCAAACCCAGCAATATAGGTGTCCAATGATTGAATCATATATTACTCTATTACCTGTCTCTTCCTAATAACTGGCGTTCACTCCCCCGGAGAGGTATCCTCAATGCAAGAGGATACCATGACATCTGGAATGAGGGTCCCAACTATGGCATTGTTTCCCTCTGCTCCAGTTGGATGTTCTCCTTCCCTGAGACTTTCATCCTCCTCAACAGCACAGAGGCTGCCAGACATGGGGTTGGACCATTCTATTGTGTCCTGGAAAGTCTCATCTGTGTACCTCTCTGCCTCTTTGCTCCTCCAGTTCAGCCACCCTGGTCTCCAAAACCTGTCCATGGTCTCTGAGGGCCAGGAGCTCCTTGCACCGAATGCACACATATGCCACCTGCCCATAGGGCAGGGAATCATACATACTGCATCAGTGCAATAAACTGGATAGCCCCCACTCTGTTGCTGGACTTCTGCCTGCATTCTCTTTTTACTCCTGCAGCTCATTCCTTTGTTGATGTTTTAATTTTATCAGGGGGTAGTTTTGGCTTTAAGTTTAAAGAATGTTCGGTGTATCTAGCCCCCAGCTCATGCTTCCCCTGCCACTAGCTGTTCCTGTTTGCTAGCTCCTCTGGTCACTTAGGAGGAGTTGCATTAATTCCAAACTAGGTTTTGAAAAGGAGAGGGAGGAAGGCTGCAGCATGGAGAAACCAACACAACACAGGAAAGTTCTGTTAATCTTTCAGTTTGAGGTCTTATTTGTTACTCTGATTAGTACCTCTAACCTAAATTGGTTTAGCATTGGCAGCCTTTATGCAAGTTGTTTCAGTCCATCAAGCAAGAGAACCACTTAGTGTTACGTAATGACATCACTTATGTCAAGTGAGTTGTGTGGGAATCCTGTCACTATCTTAAATGGATTATTTGTCCTTTACTATCACTAGATTGCTGTGATTAGTGGAACTACAAATAAATACTACTCGTTAAAGTAGTCTAGTGTGCAGCACTGTACAATCTATGATGCCTGTAGGACATTGGGCTAGCAGTATAAAAATAATACACGGCTGTAAACATTAGTTACTTCACTCCTGAAGTTTCAGGAAAGAGTTTCAGGAAGCCCTTTCAGTCACCATTTGTCTTACCAACAATATTAACCAGCATATCCCACTGTCCTCCATCATTGGTGGGGTTGGAAAGCAGGAACTGCATCAGCCTGTCTTCTACAGGCTTGTTTTTCTGAGCCGTTTCCACAAAGGCATTTAAAAAATAGTAGCAGCGTTCAATCTGGAACAGGACAGATAGGGTAACTTAATCTTTGCTTCTAACATGCCATCTGTTACTTCATTCCTGGGTGTATGCACTTCTTTGCAAATCTCACGGGAGGCGGGGGGGAAGGAAGGGGACGGATGACACCTCCCCCGTCGACTCCACTTCAGCCTCTCGCCATGGTGAAGTACAGGAGTCGACGGCAGAGTGATCAGGGATAGTTTTATCGTGTCTACACTAGATACAATAAATCGATCCCCGATAGATCGACAACTACCTGCCGATCTGGCGGCTAGTGTAGTTGTACCCTTAGTTATTAGGGCTAGCTGCTCTTAAACAGCCACTGTTGGAAGCAAACAAGTGAATTAACTTCCAGCAGTGTGTCACAGGGACAAGAATAAGGCAGCTTTAGTGGAAAACAGCGTTGTTCCCATCAAGCTTCCTACACAGATCCTTCAGAGGACTTCAACATCTTGAAACAAAAAATGCTACTCTTCCAAACAAATTTAAAACCCCCCACCATTTTCTCCTCAATCAAGGAACACTTGCTCCCCACCCACATCTAAAAATTGTGCTTGGAAAGGACTTCTGAAGACTGCTTTCAGTGTTTCTCCTTGGCACCTTAGGAAAAGTCTGAATGTCTGGATAGAGGGAAATCAGACTGCCAGTGTTGTTTGCATGAGTAAAACGTCCCCCAAGAAGAGTCTATGGCCAGCACTACTGTACCTTATCCCAGTAGAATAGATATGCTTGGCTAAACTCAAACTCTTCAATGTTAAACTTCTTCATGACAGGAAGACGCATCACATTCAGACATGAGAAGATCCAGCATCTCCCTGAAAGAGAGCAAAGGAACAAGAATTAAACTGTCCAGCTTTACAAAGATTTGCACAGGCTATATTTAAACACAAGGTTTATATGGGGCTTTTCAGACTCACTCGTTTACAGTATTAAACAAAAAAAATTCTCACACACAGATCAAGTGATCAAACGAGCAAAGAGATCTTGGCATCCCAGATCCTGACTTCTACCCCAGCTCTGCTGGTGACTCCCATCTGATCTGTGAAAAACCTTATTGAGTTTAAGTATCTTTGGTGACCTTTATATTAAATTAATGGTTTCTGTATTATTGTGGGAGTGGATGATCAAAGGACTATATTGAACAATTTGGCAGACAAGAATGGACTTTAGACAAAGTGTTGAGTGGTTTGCCTGGGGAATCTCTAGGAGGAGATGAATGCAAATTTTCACTTCCAGTTATCCAACAAACCTAGCCTTTTGAAGTTACGCCTGGAGAGACCCCCACTGGGTGCTGATTATCAGAGCCCTTATTGGAGGGTGGGTGCTCTCTGCCCAAGAGAGATGACAGTTAAGGAGCCAGGAGCAGGTGCCAGCAATGGACCATGGAGGAGGAATACAGGTGAAGTTGCCCTGAACTGTGACAGTCACTTTATTTCTCTTTATCTCAGTTTCCATAGCTATAAAATATACAATATGTATCTATTCATAGGGAAAGTTGAAAGGATTTTTTAAGGAGCTTTGAAGATGAAAAGTAATAGATAAGGGCCAAGAATTATTAAAAGCCAAGCTGAAAAGGGCTATTTCAAACTGCTCTTGAATGTCATCACAGATCTGAGATGTCCAATATCAAAAGACAGTGGTGAAAATCTCTCATACAGATTAATCTAGAACAGAGGTGGGCAAACTACAGCCCGCACCTGATGCTTCAGACATTTTTATCCCGGCCCTCGCTTGACCCGCTCCAGCCGGGGAGTGGGATCAGGAGCTTGCCCGGCTCCACACGTGCCATGACACCGCATGGCTCCTGGAAGTGGTGGCATGTCCTCCTTCTGGCTCCTTGACATAGGGGCAGCCAAGGGACTCCACATGCTGCCCCCACCTCAAGTGCCACCTCCGCAGCTCCCATTGGCCGCAGTTCCCGGCCAATGGGAGCTGCGGAGGTGGCACCTGTATCTTTGCACAGAGATACAGTGGTCAGTACACAGAGCCGCCTGGCCGTGCCTCTGTATAGGAGGCAGAGTGGGGGCATGCTGCTGCTTCCAGGAGCTGCTTAAGGTAAGCGCTGCACAGAGCCTGCACCCTTCAGCCCCTCCCATGCCCCAACTCCCTGCTCCAGCCCTTATCCCCCTCCCACCCTCTGAACCCCTCGATCCCAGCCTGGAGCACCCTCCTGCACCCCAAACCCCTCATCCCCAGCCCCATCCCAGAGCCTGCACCCCCAGCTGTAGCCCACGCAACACCCCCACCCCCACACACCCCAACCTCAGCCCAGAGCCCACTCCTTCACCTTGAACTCCTCATTTCTGACCCCACCCCAGAGCCCGCACCTCCAGTTGGAGCCCTCACCCCAATCCCCAATTTCGTGAGCATTCATGGCCTGCAATACAATTTCCATACCCAGATGTGGCCCTCAGGCCAAAAAGTTTGCCCACCCCGATCTAGAACCTCTGCGTGGGAGGAAGCTACTGGTTCTGAAGAACTTTTCTCTGTCTGCCAAATCCATTGTAGGTTGAGTGACAACTTAGTAATTGCTTTTAACATTTGAAGGTAGAAATAGATCAGTCCGATTATCAATCTACAGTCTTAAACCAAGAGACTTTAAAACTGTCACAGGTCCAGTGACTGAGCAAGGCTCTTTTGGCACCAGTCCAAGACCACATCCGATTTCAGATCTCAGACCAATCTTATTTCCAAATTAGGGAAGAGTGCCATTTCTCTGAGTTCTCTGTTTGAGTAATTTCAACCTCAAAGGGCTTTGTCTATCGGTCACTATTCCCACAAGGCTAAGGAGTAGAGATGATGCTGTTTCTGAGTTCAAACTGTAAGAGCTCTTCCAGGTGATGTTTCATAAATGAGAAGGCAGTTTAAAACATAGCACCAGGCATCCATTGTAAATGTAACCTGGTTCATAGACTTATGCTGCCATAATTAATAAGTTTCAGAGTAACAGCCGTGTTAGTCTGTATTCGCAAAAAGAAAAGGAGTACTTGTGGCACCTTAGAGACTAACCAATTTATTTGAGCATGAGCTTTCGTGAGCTACAGCTCACTTCATCGGATGCATACCGTGGAAACTGCAGCAGACTTTATATACTTCATGATCTCTGTGTATATAAAGTCTGCTGCAGTTTCCACGGCATGCATCCGATGAAGTGAGCTGTAGCTCACGAAAGCTCATGCTCAAATAAATTGGTTATTCTCTAAGGTGCCACAAGTCCTCCTTTTCTTTTTATAATTAATAAGGGTTTTGTTTTAAGAGCAGTCAAGGAACAGCCTATCTGACAAGTCTGGGGCTTGCAAAGAATTTCCCTTACCTGAGTTTTTCTGGTTAGTGACTGGCTTGCCTTCTACAGGCACGGTATGCTGGAACACGTGCACCGTCTCCTGCACCACTTGCCGATTGAGACACACTTCCAGTGGGTCACTGGTGGTTGCAACATTTCGAGCAAGCAAGAACTGTGGCGTTGACGCCAGATTTTTGGTGAAAGCCGCTATCTTTTCCAAGCTGAGCCCTGCTGAGCAAAGCAACGCACATTGCATCACACAAGCCGAGCGAGGCAGCCCTGGCATGTGTGGTCAGAGCCCCGAAGGGTCACACTACCTGAGAGCATGAAAATGGCTAACAAGGTACCTGGGGAACTTCCCTGCTGAGGGTACCCAAGAGGAGCCCAGGGCCAGACACCAGCTGGTCAAGCTCTGCCTGCAGCTGGGTGCCCCCACGGTGCTGGTACCCCTTATCCTAAGTGCCCCTACCCCCCAGGTCCCCCTGCATGCCCCCATCCCCACCCCCCATATGCCCCCATCCTCCAGGTACCGGTGACCCAGCTCCTCGGGTCCCCCTGCATGCCCCCCCACTCCATCCTCCAGGGACCGGTGTCCCCATATGTCCATCCCCCTACATACACCCCCCCGGGTCCCGGCTCTCCGGGTCCCCCTGCATGCCCCCCACCCCATCCTCTGGGGACTGGTGTCCCCGCATGTCCGTCCCCCCCCGGGTCCCCCTGCATGCCCCCCCGGGTCCCGGCTCTCTGGGTCCCCCTGCATGCTCCCCCCACCCCATCCTCTGGGGACGCGTGTCCCCGCATGTCCGTCCCCCCCCGGGTCCCGGCTCTCCGGGCCCCCCTGCATGCTCCCCCCACCCCATCCTCTGGGGACCCGTGTCCCCGCATGTCCGTCCCCCCCCGGGTCCCCCCTGCATGCCCCCCCGGGTCCCGGCTCTCCGGGCCCCCCTGCATGCCCCCCGCCCCCCGGGGACCGGTGCCCCTCCCCCTTCCAGCGGAGCAGCCACCGCGCCCCCAGCCGGCTCCGGTCTCGCTTACCCAGGACGTTCATGGCGGGACCGGCGGCAGCGGCCCGGGCAGAAACAGGCCGGCGGCGGGGACGGAGGAGGCTCTTATAGCCCCGTCACCGGAAGTAGGAAGCGCAGCCGAAGCCGGCGAGGCGGGCGGGAGGACGGCGCGCGGAGACGGACATTCCACGCCGCTGGCGTTGCGCAGGCTCCCAACGCGGGCGGGGCCCCCGTCAGGCTCCTCCTGGGCCCAGCCCCGTCTTGCTGTTAAAGGGGCCGCGCCCAGCACCTCCCGGCCCGCAGCTCGATTTGTGCAGTGGGGGTGCCGAGAGCCATTGAGCCAGACCGTAGCCCCCCCCCCGTGTGTGATGGAAACCACTTGGAGCCAGGGGGACAGCAGCGCCCCCAGTTACAGCACCTAGGCCTGCTGCAGCCTCCCCCCACCCTGCCAAGCAGCGCAGGGTCTGGGCTGGGGCGGGCAGAGACCCCTGGGCATGCAGCAGCAAAGCCAGGGCTCAGCTCTTCGCCGTGCAGCCTCAAACCACCCACCCAGCTGGGTGGGGGTGGCAGGCACGTAGCTATGCCCTTTTAGGGTTGCCCCTAGGCCCTGCACAGGGACCTCCCCTGTTTCTGCATCGCTGTGGAACAGGTTCCCGAGTTGCTGAGTGCTGGGGAAAGCACCGAGAAACACCCCTGTTTTGGGTAACGACCATAATGAATATCAGGAAGTGGGGTGGGGCGGAAGTGCTAAGAAAAGTCCCTTATTTTTTTAAATACGGTGTTGGCACCCCTACTTCGCAGGAGAACTGGGGCGTATGCCTGGACGGAAATGAGGCAAGCTTGTCCAAACAGGCCAGCAGCACAGCACTTTACAGACAGCTCTTTTTCCAAGCGTTCATTGCTATGATTTAATTTAAACAGTTGTGAACAAACAAATTCCCAGAGTTTTAAACAGAACATCAAAATACCTTACATAGATTATTTAAAAAACAAACCAGCGTTCCCTACAATCTGATGTCTCAGACTACTGCCATGCCACCAAATTTTTCAAAGTTGGTCATTCTCAGATAACCTTACAGTCAAGCCTCTTTTGTAGTTCAGTGAGCCACTTTTATATGCCTCATTGATGTCAATCTTTAGCTCCTGATTGCTCGCTGGCAGGAGGAGCGCTGCCTCAACTCTTTCACCTGTACAGATGCAGGGTATCAGAGACTTCACTGGGATGTTAACTCCATGACTCCTGGATCCAGAGATGGGTCTCTGCACTTGTCACAGTGCTGATGATTTGGGTGTGTAGTTATGCAAGTGAAATAACATTTGACAGAGAAGACAGTGTGTGGATTACAAAAATTATGAACTTGTATCTCTTGTGGGTATATTTATGCTTCCCCATCTCTTCTTAATCTGTTTTCCCAAGTTTTATTTTTCAAGTGTTTAAGGGGAAATCTGCCCATGACTACCCATTTATGTCTGTAGATGAGGTTTTTTGTTCAAAAGCAAAGTATTGCATTAGATTGTGTAGTTTGGTTGTTGTGTCAGAACTTGCTGTTGGTAAATTTCCTTTTCATTTCCCAACATCTTATTTCAATATTTCTGTTCAAGTTAATGATAGGTGCAGGAAAAGGCAAATCCTGTCCCGAGCAAACAGCATGCATAACCAATCTGACTGGTGGCGGTCAGTGTGAAGAAATCTTTCCCCATGCAAGACAACCAAACAAACCAGACAACCAAAACTACCGTCTCAATACCAAGGTAGGCTCTGTAGCTGCTGCACTTGTATTCCAAGGGGAGAACAGACCGTCACTCTGTTTTTTCACAGATCCGTTGGTCCGGTCTCACCCCCAAAATTCCCCTGCATGCTGGAGCACAGTAAGGCCTCACAGAGCACATCCCTGTGGTGCAGAGGGAGGATGGAACCCTTCCACTGGGCCCACAACCCTACACTCATTCCCTGAACAGAATCACAAGAGTTCACTTTCTAGTTGATGGCTTTGGAATTGGGTCCGAATTTGCAGGGATAATGAGCATCCACAACCCTCACCGAGATCAGTGGGAGCTGCAGGCTGCCAGCATCTCTGCAATTCAGAGTCAAATCAACTAATTATAAATTCATAGCATTTATACAGCACTTTTCAATCTTGTAGTGAAAAATAGCTAGTCAGGCTTAGTAAAGGGGATTACTCATTGCATACAAAGCAATTTAAATTATTGTGTGTAATAAAGAGAATTTGTTTGTACTAAAGTTATTATGCTACAATGTTCCCTGAAAGCTAGTTAATGTTAAATTGGCAGGGATAGTGTCACTCCATCAATCAAGGACAGACTCAATTTTATAGTGGTTGAGAAACTCCTTTCTGTTGAGTAACACTACCTTTCCACTTTCTGAGAAGGATATTTGCCCACCAGCGACTGGAAGTTATTTATAGCACATGGGATATGTATACTGAGTCAAATTGTGATGAGTCTTTAAAAGTTTGCGGGAATCTTGTGAAAAAATTTCTGCTGGTATGTTGCATGGTCAGTGGGGAAAGGGGAGATGACCCCTCAATTTTACAACTGGAGAATTTATTCTAAAACTGTTGTTTATTTTAACACAGTGTTTGTGAAAGGTATTAGAGCGACTGCCCCAGGTCCTGAAATCCATTGCCCCAAAGAAGGGGGCACAGTGGAGGCAGCAGCAGTACTGGCTTCATCTACTGTAGTACCCGGCTGCCTCAACCCTGGCTGGAAGGGGCCAGCTCTAGGGGTGAGTCTCTATGGGTGATTCCGGCCTTTGCCTTTCTGCGGGGACTAGCAGCAAAGGAGAAAATGAGTGCCCGGTGTGCTGATGACCATGTACTGGGAATTGGACGGAGACCCATTAAATGACATTTGGTCGCAGTGGGCCATGGAGGGAGCTAAACCAGCATACAAGAGATTTTCTTTCTTATTACCTAACTACTGAGCTGTTGAGCTCCCAAGGCTTCCCTTTCTTAAGAAATTATCCGCTACTGGTATTTGTGCACTTGACATCAAACTCTTTGGGTTGTGGGAACATAATTTCCATGGCAACTCATTGTGACTTCCTAATGACCAGGAACAGACTCCTAAGAAATAATGATCCTGATTACATGCAAACATCCTTTAGGAATAAAAATGGAGGCAGACCAAAAGGAAGCAATGTAGTCATCCTCTCCCCACCCCCCACCCCCATTAATGTGTTCAAAGCAGTAGGTTAGAATCAACATACATAAAGAACCATTTACGTTTTGAAAGGATCATTGTGTAAAATAACAATAAATATAGACGGAACTATGTGAACTAGAGTAACTGTTGCAATGCATAATGGCTAATCCCATCCCTTAACACAACGGCATATGTCTTGCTACAGATGATGCTTCTTAGGTGCACAAAGTAACCTCAGGATTTCTTCACCTGGAGTAAAATGAAAAGGATAGATGTAAATCACGGTCTGATGTAAGGCAAAGTGGGCTGAATTCACCCTGAGCTATGCCAAAGTGCATGTCCAAAATATTTTAGCAGGGAAGCAAACTACAAGGAACAGCTTTGGTGCTCACTTCCCCTTCAACCTCTCAGAGTTCACCCTCTGTCGTCATTCATGGCCAGAGCCACAAACTGGATTGGGCATGTGATCTTGTACTTGACTCTCCATGCTGCTCCTCCCACTAGGTTGAAATACCCCCGGTAGAAGTAATCTATGAAGGGGAAAGGGGAGGTGCAGGCATCTGGTCAGAATAATACTTTTGCAGTATTATTTTGCATCTGCTTTAACAGCAAAGAGGACCTGGACTTGGTCATTTTTAGTTTGTCTTAGTATCATCTTGTTTCATGTGGGCTGTCAAGGCTTAAAGAAGGAAACTATGGATCTTTGGTACCTATTGCATTCTGCATATGTTACAGAACAGCTAATGAAATGTTCTGTACCTCAAGCTAATTAACTCACATCCATGGTGTTTACTAATATTAGCTGCATTAATAATAATAATATTACTGGAACACCTTTCATCTAAAGATTTCAAAGTACTTTACAAACATTAATAGAATAAGCCTCACAACACTGCTGTTAGGTAAGGAAGTAAGATTGTTTCCACTTCATATTCTATGACAGAGACACAAACAGATGAACAATTAGTGACTTTCTCAGTCACTCAGCAAGTCCATATCAGAGCCATGTGTCTTCTCTAGCCACTAGCCCATGCTGCCTTCCCTCCATTTTTATACTATGTTGTCTTCCTCTTAGCAGCACCTTTAAGTACACTGATTAAAACTGGCAAAGGAGAAGAAAGGGTCCCTTAAGCATCTGATAATCTGAAATCTGACATCTCTGAAATCTGACATCTGATAATGAACAGCACAAAGCATCATTAAGTCCTCCCATGCTCTTCTCTATTGGCAACACTGCCTCCCACTTATTCCTGTTAAGAGAATAAAACACCGTAAAGTGGAACTCAGCAGGAGGGGCTTTCATTCGAAAACCCATTTACGCAAGACTGCCTATATACAAATCATTGACTCAGATACTTACAGAGCTGTTTCACCTGGTGTTTGTTTTGTCTTTTTGAAGCACTAAAAATAAACACAAACAACACAATCTTGTCATTATTGTATTTCTGAATGAAAGGCTTTTACTAAGTATATTCATAACTTACATTAGTACTGCTCCTTTCATCCCACCTGGCCCCAAATGGAATATACAGGAATCACTTCACCTCCCACTGCTATGCAGCCACCTCTGGGGATGGGTTATAACAGTTCTCAGAACAGTATACAGCAACACTACACAACAGTATCGGACAGAAAACTGCAGAAAATGCACCATAATTGATCAAACTGAAAAGCAGACAGGACAACACCAGTACTTTGGTGAAAAATGCCAGGGGTGGAAAGGATTCCAACTTGGTATCAGAAAGATGGTATGTCTGCCACCCAGCCGGAGTGCATGAGATCAGTACAGGCAGGGCTGGATTTCCAATTAGGCACAGTAGGCATGTGCCCAGGGGCACTCATGTTCTAGGGGTGCCTTAAAGTTAAAAGTGGATTAAAAGTTTCATTTTTTATAGAAAACACGAGGTCAGCTGTAGGCAGCGGGAGCGCTGAAGATGCTGCGCCTAGGGGAATCTAAGGGGTAAATTCGGCCGGAGAGAAGAGTGCCATTTCCTGAATATCCAACAGACTGTTTTACTTCACTGTGTTTTACTGGACACTACAGTGCTAATAAACGATGGTCACATAAACACCACCCTATACCGGAAACCTACTGACCGCTATTCCTACGTACATGATTCCAGCTTTCACCCTGACCACACCACACGATCCATCGTCTACAGCCAAGCTCTGCGATACAACCGCATTTGCTCCAACCCCTCAGACAGAGACAAACACCTACAAGATTTCTATCAAGCATTCTTACAACTACAATACCCACCTGCAGAAGTGAAGAAACAGATTGATAGAGCCAGAAGAGTTCCCAGAAGTCACCTACTACAGGACAGGCCTAACAAAGAAAATAACAGAACGCCACTAGCCGTCACCTTCAGCCCCCAACTAAAACCCCTCCAACGCATTATTAAGGATTTACAACCTATCCTGAAGGATGACCCAACACTCTCACAAATCTTGGGAGACAGGCCAGTCCTTGCCTACAGACAGCCCCCCAACCTGAAGCAAATACTCACCAACAACCACATACCACACGACAGAACCACTAACCCAGGAACCTATCCTTGCAACAAAGCCCGTTGCCAACTGTGCCCACATATCTATTCAGGGGACACCATCACAGGGCCTACTAACATCAGCCACACTATCAGAGGCTCGTTCACCTGCACATCCACCAATGTGATATATGCCATCATGTGCCAGCAATGCCCCTCTGCCATGTACATTGGTCAAACTGGACAGTCTCTACGTAAAAGAATAAATGGACACAAATCAGATGTCAAGAATTATAACATTCATAACCAGTCGGAGAACACTTCAATCTCTCTGGTCACGCAATTACAGACATGAAGGTCGCTATCTTACAACAAAAAAACTTCAAATCCAGACTCCAGCGAGAAACTGCTGAATTGGAATTCATTTGCAAATTGGATACTATTAATTTAGGCTTAAATAGAGACTGGGAGTGGCTAAGTCATTATGCAAGGTAGCCTATTTCCCCTTGTTTTTTCCTACCCCCCTCCCCCCCCCAGACGTTCTGGTTAAACTTGGATTTATGCTGGAAATGGCCCACCTTGATTATCATACACATTGTAAGGAGAGTGGTCAGTTTGGATGAGCTATTACCAGCAGGAGAGTGAGCTGTGTGTGTGTTGGGGGGGGAGGGGGGAGAAGACCTGGATTTGTGCTGGAAATGGCCCACCTTGATTATCGTGCACATTCTGGGGAGAGTGGTCGCTTTGGATGGGCTGTTACCAGCAGGAGAGTGAGTTTGTGTGTGTATGGGGGTGGGGGGGTGAGAAAACCTGAATTTGTGCTGGAAATGGCCGACCTTGATTATCATGCACATTGTAGGGAGAGTGGTCACTTTGGATAAGCTATTACCAGCAGGAGAGTGAGTTTGTGTGTGTGAAAAGAAAAGGAATACTTGTGGCACCTTAGAGACTAATCAATTTATTTGAGCATAAGCTTTCGTGAGCTACAGTTCAAGTGAGCTGTAGCTCACGAAAGCTTATGCTCAAATAAATTGGTTAGTCTCTAAGGTGCCACAAGTACTCCTTTTCTTTTTGCGAATACAGACTAACACGGCTGTTACTCTGAGATTTGTGTGTGTGGTTTTTGGAAGGGGGGGGTGAGAAAACCTGGATTTGTGCTGGAAATGGCCCACCTTGATTATCATACACATTGTAAGGAGAGTAATCACTTTAGATAAGCTATTACCAGCAGGACAGTGGGGTGGGAGGAGGTATTGTTTCATGGTCTCTGTGTGAATATAATGTCTTCTGCAGTTTCCACAGAATGCATCCGATGAAGTGAGCTGTAGCTCACAAAAGCTTATGCTCAAATAAATTGGTTAGTCTCTAAGGTGCCACAAGTACTCCTTTTGTTTTACTTCAGAGTCTCCCATCTAGTAACCCAGCCTGGCCTTGCCATAGCGTGCAAGCATTACTAGGACCAGGACTAGGCTGTAATTCATGTAGGCTATCCCTAATAAACAGGAAGGAGGATGACCATTCGGAGTTTGTCATTTCTGTATATGGCAAATTACAATATCTTCTCTCACAACAACACACACCTATGTGCACCCCACATTAGCGAGACTCGTGTGTTATATGACCTGTATATACCACCTTTCTGGGTCTATTTCTAAGTCCAAGACAATAGAAGTGTTGTGTTAAGCCTCACCTCCCCTCACTCAGAAAATAACGCTGAGATTAAACAAAGCTTTTTCTTAACAGCAGCTGTGCTGACTCATTATGATGGTTTCTGATTCATTGATGCTTTTGTTACCTTAAATATTTTTTCTCTTCGAGCCACAATTCCAAAAATTACAGTGAGTAAAACCACCACGGTGGCAGCAATAATGGCCTCCAAGGGAAAAACTGGTTTTCTATCTGTTGGAAGGAGGAAAAAAACACCCATTTGGATACTGGACAGATTGATACACTTCTATAAAGCAAATCATTTTAGAGATGTCCAAAAAAGAGCAGGTGGTTTCTTCCTGTCCCTGTCTACACAGTGACCTGAACTGTGCTAAAAACAGAGGTCAAAAACTGTTGTAATGCGTGGGATATTCATGTGGTTCTGACATTCAAAAAGAAAGACGCAAACAAGAAACAGCCAGACATTTTTACTGGACTAACTGGAAATATTAATTGGTGGCCACTCCAGCAGGTTCTCCGGCTAGGCCATCAGGCCATGGACACAGAGTAAGATGTGCAGTAGTGTTTCCTGACATCTCCAGTACAACTGTTTTTATGATGGTTCTAGGGATAGGAAAGAATGGCTTGTGGGCAGCCCTGCAGCCAGAAAACCATGTATTTATTAGAGTGAGAGGTGGGAAACTGCAGCCCTAAGATAGTTGTAGAGTATTAGGAAAACATATGCAACAGATCCCTACTGTGGCACCTTTGTATTCTGTAAATTGATACAATTAAAATGTATCCTCTTATTTGTGTGTCAACAACCCAATTAAGGGATGGGAGAAAATTACTGATTTCTTTCTAAACAGGGCATAGCTTCTTGCTTTTGAAACAAACATCTCAACAGCTATTAAGCAGAGAATCTTCACATTGTTTTACATCCTTTAAAAAAACAAAAACAACTAGCCTTCCTGGGAGAGGCCAGTAGTCTGAGCAGAAGCCAAAGTTAGTACTCCTGGATTTTGTTCTCAATTCTGATTTTGTCTTTGCCACTGCCTTGTGCTGGGCAAGACCCTGCGCCTCGTTCTACCTCATTTTCCCCATTTGTAAAATGCGAACAAGAATATCCCCCTTCAAAGGTGAGCTTTGTGGCTTAATTAACATTTATCAAGCCACCTGAGATCCTCGATTGCATCATGCTGTCTATGCACAAATTATAATTATTATACTTCATCCAGTTTTACGGCCAATCAGCATGTGAGCTTTGTGTCAGCCTATTTCTAGCTGTTGCTCCACCTGGCCCTGGCCCCAACCTGCTATTCAAAGCACTGATGTGTCATTGCCCTACTTACTTCAAATAAAATGTCCTGTTTACAACCACCCCTGCTCTAATTTCTACTGAATTCCACTGAGGGAAAAGAACAAGTTATTATATATTGTTTCCATTACAGTCGTGCCAGATTTCTCCACTCGTCATCGGGCTAATTGTGCTGGGCACTGTGCAAACATGAAAGAAGAGACAGTGCCTGCCCCAAAGCGCTTATAATCTAGTGCCCTGATGCTGCAAATGGATCCACGCTCCTGTGGCTGAACTGAGCCTCACCCACTTAAACAGGGCTCTTCACTGGCACAGGGATTTGCCAGTATGGACTGCACTGCAGTATTGGGGCCTATATAAAGTATAACATTTTGCTCAGGGCAACTAATAACTGCTGGGATTCAAGTTGGCCAATGTGCATGAATTTAAAGAAGGGATTGGAATGATTTGAAAATTTTAATGCACACATCTGGCTTCAGGAGATCAGAGGGTGAGATGCAGCCCCTTCAGATTACACACTCCAAATACTTTTAAATAACTGGTGGAACAGGAAAAGCATTTAATGCTGCTCTAGCCTTCTAAGTGTTAACCAGTCAGGTGCATAAGCCAAGCTATTGTTTCTATGCACTTAGATGCACACTCATTAGTGTTACCTTCAACTGTCAGGTGGAACTCCTTTTTCATCCCTCCAAGAACAGATTTAGCCTCACAAGTGTATGTTCCATTGTCAGATTTTTCTACTTTCTTGATAGTCAGCTGGAAGACCTCACTCGTATGGTATATCTGATAGCGATCTTTCTTCAGGGTCAGGGTGCTGTTGTCTTTATACCAAACCATTTCAGCTTGAGGGTTGGAATTCACATTGCAAGTCAGCTTCACATCATTCTTTTCTTCTACTGGAGGAGGGTCTTCCCCAGTTAGGAGAGGGGGAACTGTTCACAATAACCAGTTATTTTAATTACAAAGTTACCAGAACCACAAACACCTACTTACTATTTAAGGGAAAAGGAGTTCCCTTTAAACATTTCTGATGCATGCACAAATAACAATGATGATGAATAGCAGTTATGTAACCCTTCACAGCACTACTTGAGCAAACTGGGCAGTCATCATTAGAAACAGTAATTTCCAGATATAATTTTAAAAGGGAGTCCTGACTACTTTTCAAAACACCAATATAAAACAGTTCGCTGCTACAGCTTTTAGCAGTCTTTCCTACGAGCTGTACTAGTGTTAAATTTCATTCTGTCATAACATCAAATATTACAGTGAGAAATCTAAACTGGATGCATTGTAGGATCAGAATTTAGCTTATTTAATAGCTTTCCCATGCACTGCTAAACACTGCTGGAACGTGATACATTTGGAGCAGAGGAAGTGGGGCTGGACAGAGCAGGAGAGAGAACAGACACCACCAAGGAAGGGGGCGAGATTGATCACATGACATCTTCCATCTGGAGGCACAGTTGGCCACCTTTATGTCTTCAAAGCTTCAGGCATCACCTTTCAGCTCTTTCACTGAATAAAAGCTTGGTTTTTACAGCGTAATAACTAATGCCTATTAACCATCATGCTGCAAAATCCTAGTGGAGTCAAGGGGCAGGTAGTTTTTGACATGATGTAGCTAGGCGAGATCAATCCTACGTCTCCCACCCATGGCTGAGCTCACCTAGCTACATCCCGATAAAAGCTGAAGTGCTGTATGTCTCCTAGGGTTTGACAGTGGGAAGGCTAACACACGTCAGTTATCCTTTTTTTATTTATTTTTTATTTTTTTTATTTTTTGCAGTGAAGACATAGCCAAAGGCACTCACTGCTCCTGGTTCAGGGCATAGGCCACTCACCAGCAGGTGTCTGGAGTTTAGGTGCATCAGGAGGATTTTATATATTCCTCTAGCATCGCACAGTGGCCACTGCAGCAGAGAGGATACCAGAGGAGACCGGTCTTTTTTGTGCTCTGATTCTTTTGTTCCCCTCTCTTTTCAAGCCGGAGTCTAGGTGGAGGAGGCAACAATGTCTAGTCAATCTACTTCTTAATCAAGGGCCTCATCCAGCTCCCACTGAGGAAAACTGAAAGGCCCCGCATTGATTTCAATGAAAGTCGGATCAGGCTTGAAGGTTTTGTTTACGCTAGGGAAAAGGTGTATTTTGAACACATTAGCGAACACCTAACATCAGCTAACACTTTTTCCTAGAAAAGACAAGGCAAAAGAATATAGAACAGTTGGGCATGGACTTCACCTAGTGAGCAGCCCCCGGGTGTGCTAAACCCACTGATCTCACACTGCCATAGCTATTTTGCATAATCAGCCCTCCCATTAACTCACACTGGACATCCAGAGTCACCGAGATCTGAACAGACTCGTTCCGCACCAGCTTGCAGGTAAAGCTGACTCCATTGTCGGTCTTAGAGACTGGAAGGATGCAGATGTTAGTGGTATTCATTTTATTGCCATCTTTCATGTTCACAGTCCCACTGTCTCGGTACCAGCGTAATTCCTCCGCCCTGCTGCTGTTATGTACAGTACACCACAGAGACTCTTCACGGCCAGGCTTTGTGGCTAGTATTTGGTTATCAGAACAATTGTTTATAGCCAGCTCCACACCTGGGAAGGGAAATGGACATGGTGGGTTTCACAATCTGTACCTTTTGCACAGGCCAGGACAATATGAATAATTACCAGGCCGCTCTGACAATGCCCAGGCCCCGGAAAGCAGGTTAAGAATGGAGTTGTCAGACTTAAATCTAATAACCACCGTTTCTAAAGCAGCTTCTCAAACTGCAGCAACAATTGTTCAGGCACAACTTGTGTTTTATTTATTTAGATTTACAAAAAAGACACAAAGGTACCTGCCCTAAGCTGTCAGTCTTCTAAAATTGCAAGCAAACGCAGGGCCCTGACGCTGCAGCTGACTGCATGGGTGTAGGAACCTAGGCTGCGAAGAAAAACCCTACCAGCCACCACCATATATAGCAGAGATGTATTAGCCCCTCCAGCAAAAGGAAACAATAAAGACAAATACTTCACCCTCCCTGAAATACTATGTGTGCTCAGTTTTCACAGCCAGGCTTTTATGCACTCAATTTTTCATGCTCATGTTTTTATGTGCTCATTTTTTTGATTGTCTCAAGTTGCATTTGTGAGTATAACTGGGTAGTTAGATCACCAGCTACATCTGCACTGGCTTCAGTAGAGTTTTGCTGTTCAAGGACTGCAGAATCAGATTCTAAGCTTGGAGCCTTAGGACATTTTCACTGGGAAAAATAATCCCTGTGGGAGATAAGTTGTCATTATCTCCGAAACTCAAGACTCTAGTTCCCGTTATGTCTTAATTAACTGAAAAAGTCAGTTGAAAATGCAGAGGCAATTGCGCTCTTGGGGCACAAAAATAACCTGAGACCATGATTCTCTTGTTTGGTACTCCTAGATAGTGAAAGCATTCAGACTTTTCGTTTTTCACGTATTGTGCAAATAATGGAGTCCTCTGATTTTTGTACTCTTTGAGTTCACCAGTCTCATTTAGTGTGAATGACACTTTTTAAAATGGTGAAGTCTCTTCATTCTCTCTGGTTGCTCACGACGCTGTATTGAGCAGATCAGTTCTTTCTATGTGTAGCCTATTTAGGACCGATTACTACAATATAGGAAATGTAGGATCCAGCTGTAGCACATCGCCCTGGACACTACCCAGTGACAGGTGTCAAGCAGAGCATCAGGAGATATTAAGAAGCTCAGACAAATAAGCTGCAGCTTTTCTTTGCTGCTTACCTGTGACTAGACATGGAAAAAGTAAAACTGCAAGGACAGGTACTCCATAAGGGGTGGGTAGGCGGCTCTTCTGGGCCATCTCTGATATACTCAGGTGGGATCTGTTGGATAGAGAGTCATAGTTCTGTGAATACTGCAAGCATGGGATAATTATACATTGCTATCACACATTCCGAATAAAGCCCTCCCAGAAAGGCCCTTCACAGGCATTGATGGGCAGGTGGGGCCCTGAGGAGGAAGTTGTATTAGTTTCTTGTTGGTTGTACTCCACAAGCAACTGGCCCTTAAATCGTTAGCCCCTTCCTCAGAAATAATTTTTTTCCTAGCAATGCTAAGTTACTTCTGTGGCAGAGGTCCTTTCTCTTGGGATATCTAACCCTGCTGCTTACCTTGGGGAGAGTCTGTGAAGACGCTTCTCCTGTTCAGAAATGCACAACGCTTTCCCCATCTCATTTATAAGGGTTGAACTGTAATGTTTTTATTGTAGTTCAGTGTCAAGTGAGTCAGATAAACTGGGGTCAAGGTCTTGTTCCTTCACTGAATTTCTGAGTACACAAAACACCAGTTAGAAAATAAGGACTCTTCCTGCACTGCTCACTGTTTTATGGGATTAGCTGAGGCAATGAGTAACTAACAGGAAAGTTCCTGGGTCAGCCATTGCTGATTTCAACCAAAAATAAGGCATGTTTCCTTCTCAGCTTTCCTCATGTTGTTGGGGCCTGCATTCATTCAAGCCAGTGGGAGCTTTGTTCCAGACCTCAACAACTGGGGCAGGAGCCCATCCCATTCTTTCCCTTTCTCCCACCACGGAGCCATTTGTAGTCCCTGGGACTGCATGCAGGAGTGAGGTTACTGGGAATTGGCTCAAACTCTGAAACATATGTTTGGAGATCGGAGAGCAGGGTCACTGTAGTGACCTAGAAACTACAAATGAGTCCCCTCCGCCCCCATAAGTTCGGCCAATACACTTCAGTCCTGAAGAGCACCAGGCCTTGATATTCCACTCCTGGGACTGACCCCACCCCAGCCCTCTGCTGGGGCACATCACTGCTGACCCGCAGTGCCCTGTCTTATTTCTGCTCTCCCAGCACTGCGCCCAATTCCCCCACTCTCTCAGTGAACCTCAGTGCTGCATTGTGGCTCCCCCTGCTATTCCAGACTCCTCCAAGCTGGAAACACCTATTTTTCAGTTAGCTCAGCCACTGGGGCCAGCCCTGATGTTACGGTGGCTACAACTGTGTTGAATTCCAGGGAGTTCCGGCTGCTTACAAGGCTGGATTTGTCTCCATGTGTTTTGAAGCAGCACTCTGGGGGCACAGCTGAAACCCATGGTGCTAAGGGAAGATGGCGTTTTGAATATTCTCAGCACACCTTAGCAGGACAAAGGTGATAACTATAAACCACTAGGTCCTTACCAATCCTGACCCTGAAAGGAATGTCCCACTGACGTCGATGGGCCTGTGGGTGCTCAGCACCTCTCTGGATCAGGGTTATCATAAACCTGGGATCAGAAACTGGCTACATGGCCATAAAATGCATTTCATAGGCAGGAAAGGGACCCTGGCCAAGGTGGACTATGTTCGACCCACTCAGCAGAGAGCCCCAGTCGGTTTGGAGAGCGGCTGTATGGCTTTGCTGTTGACAGGACACTAGAGGGTGCCAGTGCACAGAATACTATGTATTAGTAGCTCTGTACATTGGTTCATCTGTTGGAAAAAACCACGGACAACAAGAAGCCGTTTTCAGGAAACGTTTTTTATTTGATGCCTGCCCAAGGTGCTTTGGAGAGAGGAGTCAGAGTGGGGCCTGTCTCTGACATCTTCTCCTGGATGTCTAGCTGCCACCCCTAGCTCAGCATGGCTAAAACAGAGCACAGGTGCCATTCAGGTAGGGCAGAGGGGGGCTGCAGCCCCCCTGAGTTTTGTACCCCCATGCTGCTTACTCCTCCCCCACCCCCCACCAGCCAGGAGTCATGTGGCTCATTCTCCCCCCCACACCAGCTGGCTATTCTTTGCTCAGCCAATAGGAATGCAGAGGTGTATCTGGCAGAACCAATAGCAGGGCTGGGAGCTTCTGCAGCACTTTTTTCAAATTCATTTTCCTGAAGCTCTGGGCTTAGGTCAGAAGATGCTTGCTGCAGATTTCATCATGACCTGCCATTCACCTTCCCGGGGTGACATGTTACAAAGCAGCTCTGAGCAGGGGGTGGGAATAGATGACCTCCTGAGGTCCCTTCCACCCCGATCTTCTATGAAAGGCAGGAGCCAGCCCCTTATGACACCAGTAGACAGAGAACTGCTCGGGAGGGGCAGGAGCTGCTGTCCCAGGCACATTCAGGGGATCATTATCCCCACAGAGAGGCCAGCTCTGGACGTTTCAGGCTGCAAGAGCCGTGCTGAGGAATGACCACCTGGGATTTTCCCCTGCTGTCAAGAAACAAACATGCTCTCACACCACCAATACTGTTTAAATGACACTTAAAACTTCCTATTTTTTCCAACTCTTTAATTTTCCAGTGAATGGCAGTACCCCAGTGCGGCCATTTATTCTGCCATTTAGTGCCACGTGTCTGCGGGAGTCTTTCCTTTGCCAGCAATAGGCTTTGGGTCAGGTCCATAGGCTGTGATACAGTAACACTGATCTCTCTGTGAATGCTGGGATTTTACCAGATCTCCCCAGCGTGGGGGTGGACTTTTCTAGGACCTTTTTCCCAGATACCTTTTGAGGAGCTTCTGCCCCTGGACTGCTGCTCTCCAGCAGCCATTTTGCAGCTTTCCGCTGTATGTCCTCTTCCAGCTGGGAAATATTCTTATCTCCTGTTGTACTTACTCTTTAACATTCCTGAGGGTGGCAGAGTCTCACAGATCAGTGAGTTTCATGGAGGTGATGTTTAGTCTATCAAATCCTTACAGCAACACCCCAGAAATCTACTTCCAACTTAATCCGTTGTATTTATCGTAACTATTTGCGTAAACCCTTTAGTGAACATAAACCTAAGCCAATCTAAACAAGTTGTAAGATTTGGCTGCCAAAATGTGTTTGTTATAGATCTACACTGCTAACATCCATCCTTTAATTATAGTCTAGATAGTAAAAAGAATGAGGAGTACCTTAGAGACTAACAAATTTATTTGTGGCACCTTAGAGACTAACAAATTTATTTGAGCATAAGCTTTCATGGCCTAAAGCCTACTTCATCGGATGCATGCAGTGGAAAATACAGTAGGAAGATATATATATACACTGAGAACATGAAACAATGGGTGTTGTCATACCCACTATAAGGAGAGTGATCAGGTAAGGTGAGCTATTATCAGCAGGAAAAAAAAAAAAAACTTTTGTAGTGATAATCAGGATGGCCCATTTCCAACAGTTGACAAGAAGGTGTGTGTAACAGTAGGGGGGAAAAAAACATGGGGAAATAGTTTTACTTTGTGTAATGACCCATCCACTCCCAGTCTTTATTCAAGCCTAATTTAATGGTGTCCAGTTTGCAAATTAATTCCAATTCAGCAGTTTCTCATTGGAGTCTGTTTTTGAAGTTTTTTTGTTGTAGTATTGCAACTTTTAGGTCTGTAATCGAGTGACCAGGGAGATTGAAGTGTTCTCCAACTGGTTTATGAATGTTATAATTCTTGATGTCTGATTTGTGTCCATTTATTCTTTTACGTAGAGACTGTTCGGTTTGGCCAATGTACATGGCAGAGGAGCATTTCTGGCACGTGATGGCATATATCACATTGGTAGATGTGCAGGTGAATGAGCCTCTGATAGTGTGGCTGATGTGATTAGGCCCTATGATGGTGTCCTCTGAATAGATACGTTGACAGAGTTGGCAATGGGCTTTGTTGCAAGGATAGGTTCCTGGGTTAGTGTTTTTGCTGTGTGGTGTGTCGTTGCTGGTGAGTATTTGCTTCAGGTTGGGGGGCTGTCTGTAAGCAAGGACTGGCCTGTCTCCCAAGATCTGTGAGAGTGATGGGTCGTCCTTCAGGATAGGTTGTAGATCCTTGATGATGCACTGGAGAGGTTTTAGTTGGGGTCTGAAGGTGAAGGCTAGTAGCATTCTGTTACTTTCTTTGTTGGGCCTGTCCTATAGTAGGTGACTTCTGGGTACTCTTCTGGCTCTGTCAGTCTGTTACTTCACTTCCACAGGTGGGTATTGTAGTTGTAAGAATGCTTGATAGAGATCTTGTAGGTGTTTGTCTCTGTCTGAGGGATTGGAGCAAATGCGTTGTATCGTAGAGCTTGGCTGTAGACAATGGATCGTGTGGTGTGGTCTGGCTGAAAGCTGGAGGCATGTAGGTAAGTATAGCAGTCAGTAAGTTTACTGCATAGGGTGGTGTTTATGTGAACATCGCTAATTAGCACTGTAGTGTCCAGGAAGTGGATCTCTTGTGTGGACTGGTCCAGGCTGAGGTTGATGGTGGGATGGAAATTGTTGAAATCATGGTGGAATTCCTCAAGGGCTTCTTTTCCATGGTCCAGATGATGAAAACGTCATCAATGTAGCGCAAGTAGAGTATGGGCATTAGGGGACGAGAGCTGAGGAAGCGTTGTTCTAAGCCATAAAAATGTTGGCATACTGTGGGGCCATGCGGGTACCCATAGCAGTGCCGCTGATTTGAAGGTATACATTGTCCCCAAATGTGAAATAGTTATGGGTGAGGACAAAGTCACAAACTTCAGCCACCAGGTTAGCCGTGATATTACCGGGGATAGTGTTCTTGACGGCTTGTAGTCCATCTTTGTGTGGAATGTTGGTGTAGATGGCTTCTACATCCATAGCGGCCAGGATGGTGTTTTCAGGAAGATCACCAATGGATTGCAGTTGCCTCAGGAAGTCAGTGGTGTCTCAAAGATAGCTGGGAGGGCTGGTAGCATAGGGCTTGAGGAGAGAGTCTACACAGCCAGACAATCCTGCTGTCAGGGTGCCAATGCCTGAGATGATGGGGCATCCAGGATTTCCAGGTTTATGGATCTGGGGTAGCAGATAGAATACCCTGGTCGTGATTCTAGGGGTGTGTCTGTGCAGATTTGTTCTTGTGCTTTTTCAGGGAGTTTCTTGAGCAGATGGTGGAGTTTCTTTTGGTAGCCCTCAGTGGGATCAGAGGGTAGAAAGTGATAGATAGCTTGTAGAAAGTGGTGTTGGAGAGCTGCCTAGCAGCCTCTTGTTCATATTCCGACCTATTCATGATGACAACAGCACTTTCTTTGTCAGCCTTTTTGATTATGATGTCAGCGTTGTTTCTGAGGCTGTGGATGGCATTGTGTTCTGCACGGCTAGATAGTGATTCTTTTTAAAGGCATAGACCCCAGTGTTAATAAAAAATTGTTTAAATAACTAGATTGGGGTTTTTTGGGGCTAGTTTTTAAGTGACTGTGTACTATTGATGCAGTAGAAAATAGCCCCGGGAATCATGGTTAAAGTTGCCCCCCCCCCCCCGGCTACCAAAATCTGAAATGGTACCCCTGAAACAGAGCCCTCAAACTTTCCCCAAAGCCCTCCCCACACCCTCCCTTCTTAAGCACTGTGGACAACACCAC